CCAACAGATTCTAACTTCGCAGCAAGGTTCCACGAACGACGGCAAATCAATCGATCAGAACTGGACATTGCCGCGACTTTTGATATGCCGGCCGGCCATTGTACTCCCTAAGGACAGTGGCTTCGAAACACTGCCTTGAAGCTTGTAGGAACCCGATAAAACTCGAATATCGAAGGATCTGATTCGCCTTTCAACTCACCCAACTGTCTGATCTCGACGTCCTCGAATCGGTTTTTAAGTAGTAGCTGTGCGCCAAAGCTTAGGATCTTGGGAGTTTGTGCAGGTACGATATTGTACTAGCAGTGTATGAGAATGAACAGGATTGATATCTGCAGTTGGGAGCAGTCTCACTGCATCCCCCCCATCAATCTTGACTTTAAGGCTCGGTTCGCTCTGATGGCGAAGGCATTAGATTGTATGACCGTACCTGCAGCCCAGTTATACTTCGTTTGAACACTGTTTTGTACAAGCTCTGAGCTCTCGTGGGAGGCAAGGTTGCTCGAGGAACTCACACGATTTGTACAGGGTATCGGATAAAATGTATACTTAGGGACTCGGATGAAGCAGAAGGATCGAACGATCCTATATGTGGGCTCATAAAGTCTCAAAGTGTGGCAAACATGTTGGTACTCTAGCTCCAAACCGTTTCACACGACGGCGAAGGATGTCATTACAGCCTACAGGGTTCCCCTCCTGGAGTGGTTCAGTTCGGGTTTGTCGGGCAGCCAATAGGCATTCGCTTTATCACTCACCGCCTCTCGCCCTCTCTCACCGCACCTCTACCCGTTGATATATTGTGGTCATTACGAACCCGTGAGCTGGTTTGGTGTGCTAGTTTACCCGCGTTCGGGACTGAAGCAAATCACAGGTCCCAGGATCAGACAGGCGGGGATAAGCAGCTGTTACTGAGCTGGCTAACGCATACTCAGAAAATCCCTTCTAGTTCGGAACCTAATCGAACCAGGTCAACCCGCGCTTCATGCACTTACATCCGAGCCACTTCTCCATACAGGATTGCCTCCCCGTATCCCGCTGCGAGTTAACACGATCGGTCATACCGTATAAGCCACAACTGCTATCACTTCCCGGAGATGAACAGACTTGAATCTCAACTAAGATCTGAGGTGTTTGGTAGAGGAGTTAGGTTCATCAAACTCGAAAAGCTGGTCGCGGTGAGTCTCTCGGTACAATCGTACTGAATAGCTCGTAAAAAGACTTCACCTTCTCCGGTGCTCTCATGGCTCGGTCAAGAAAAACGTTTGGAAGATAAATCGTGGCAGTACGTTGCAACCCGTGGGTGTACGGAGTACAGGTTGATCTAGGTTGCATGATACATTCATTTCTTACGGCGGTCATAATCTTTCCACACGAAAATCTTCCATAGATCCTCTCTATCTCGGTTCGTTTCAACCCAAGAAACAGATTTCCGCTTCTCAAAAAATATAATCTCGTCCTGTTCCTTCGCGTATTGAAAGATAGCCTCATACTCCTCGAGATAGCAACAAGAATATCCAACACCGCTACTTCGAAATCAGATTGATGTGCCACGGTCATCGAGGGAAGGCCTGGAAACGTAGCTACGTCTATCAGGGCTGTCCGATAATCACCGTCGAGTCGAAGCTCTCCCTAAGATTCCATTGGAGTCCTGATGTTACGGGAGAGGGAAGCAGTGGTTAATATACGGCCGGTGTCCCATCCTAATGCTGTGATGGCAAGGGGTGCACCTCCAGCGGTAGAACGCCGGAGGCTCGTCGCCTTGATCAAAATATTATCGGCAACCCCATTGGACCCGTTACTTTGGGTCGCCCGGAAGGGAAGCCCTGTATGGATGTGTCCTTGGCTGAGGATGTGCTTGTGATCGTCAGGGTGGTTATAGATGCTCACCACGCCGGCTGGGTTCGTATGCGTGTTTGAGAATTCTATATGCCCCTCCCTCGCCGGAGTGAGCCACTGCCATATCTACTTGTTCAAAGTCGGCATACAGGCAAAGTCCGGGGTCATGGGATATTGTACACAAATAGCACAATCAATATTGCTCAGTGGAGAAGAAATACATTCCACTCACTGCGTCACTTCCTGGCTGTCCGTATCGATCCTAACGGCATGGATGTAATGAACGTGTCGAGTATCTCAAAGATATATGAATCATGAATACTCCCACGGCGGGAGACGAAGTGTCTGGTGTCTTATATCTGTTCCTGCCCGTGGTAAAATGGTAACTCATAAGGCTTTTACCCACATCATTTCATGACGCTTGTTATCGAGCAGCTTGGTCGCTGTTACCAGTACCGAGGGACAATCAGTTTGGTCGATCTCCCCTCAGCAGCCTCTTTCATGAGTGGCCTTTCCAAGATGCCGCCGATGACTTGCATACGGCGATCCGTGTGTACATATCGTGGCGTTCAGGTTACTGAAAGAAGGTTTCTCGGGAAAAATCTTAGATGGGGTTGAGTGCTGACTTCAGAGCTGATCTGATCACGGAATAATTCCGGTATGGTCGGCGACGCTGCTGTGACGCGGTAAACCACGGCCTTACTTCGAAGCTTTTGCTATGCTTCAACGCCTTTCAACGGGATGGCCAATTAACAGTCGACCAACAAATATGAATCCTCGACTTTTGGTTCTCGCTTAGCAATGAGTACAATCGCAAGCTGCGCATTAAGTATGAAAAGGAGGAGGCGATGAAGAAACTGCATAACCCCATTTTTTGCATTGGAAGCTTACCCCAGCATGCCCGCGCAAGCAGCCCACCACCAATTCTCGAGGGCAAGGAAAGAGAGGAAGAGCACAAAGTCACGACTATACCGCCCCAAGAGTCTCATATCGTGAGCTTATGGCGATGTCATATCTTCCTTGTCCATGGTCACCGTTCCCCAGCTTCGAGGAAGTAGGGTTCCCAATCCCCAATTTACCTTTCACGCCGCCTGCTGCTATTCGGCACAGTAAAGTAGTTCCCTCATCTCATACATCTGAGACAGTTGGACCACATCTCTTTATTACCCAGCGCCACACTTGTTTTCAGGTTGTTCCAGTTTACAGATGTCCCAGTCTCACACAACCGAGAGTCTATCATTGCTCTCTGGTTAACAAAACCCTCAGTATTTCTCGGCCTATCACCACACATTCATCCCAATGTACTACAAAATCACAGACAATGATTCGTTTCCCCAACCCTCGACCTGTGGCGGTCCGATCCCGTGTTCGAAGTTGTACCACCGGCTAGGACTTACCTTCGTTTTAGCTCCGGGTGTATGAAGAGCTACTCATAGAAATCGAGACACTCTCGTGAACCTCGGGCGATTGATCGATGATATGGCGTACACATGGATTTCCTCATCATTACACCTCGGAAAGACAGATCTTGTGTGGCGCCGCGTCCGCCCGCTTTGATATCTCCGGTAGACTTCCGCGATTAGCCGCCCCGGATGTTCGGATGTTTATGCCCACAGACACTGTCAGAGCCAGAAGTAAGAACGTCGAACAGAAGGTTCTGGTTGAATAGATACATATATTCCAAATAATAGCAAACTGACGAAGAGCTTTAAGACTAAAAATACAGGTATAAACAGGATCGAGGCAATAAGTCTAGATCAAACAAGTCGGAAGGGTTCTAGTAATACAGGTCGAACGGATACAGAGGGCAAGGTGCTATTGATACAGTAGAATGAAAACCGGAGAAAGGAAAGTTCGTAAGGATACAGTTCTAGACTGGTAAAATGGAATGAAAAAGGTTGCCATTGCGCTTTCTCAGAAACGCTTAATAAGTGCGACGGTAAAAGTCGCCCCCAACGCCGGACGAAGCCGAGTCGTAGGGAGAAGGTCCCCTCGTATCGGGAGCCTGGGCTCCCTTCCAGTTGCACCCCCAATTCCACTCTTGCCACGTGTTCTGGTCCTCGGGCGATGGATCCAATCCCATCTGGGAATATAGACTTGCCTCGCGAGAAGGAGCAGTGCCCCAGCTCTTCTTCCTCAACGCGCCCGTCTCCTGCCGGATGAATGGATGGCGGTGAGCTGGGGCATTATAAGAAGGCTGAGTGTGGGTCAGAAATGTCGTCGTGGAATCGATATGAACACTGCCATGAGGCTCGACTTTAGACGTGTTGCTGGGCTGTGTGCTATATCCGGGTTGACACTCATCATTCCATCCAGGAGTGTATGGCGTAGTGGGGGTGTAGTCGTGAGAAGGATAATAAGATTTTATATAATGAACGTCTGACTGTGGGTGTTGGTAAACTTGAGGGTGAACGTGCCTGGAATCGTGGCGTGGCGTGTTGTAAGACCCAGCGTGTGATTCGGCGGTTTGAGCATAACACTCTGTACCCCAGCTTGAGTATGTCTCCACTCCCTGAGCCCCGGTCGTCCTTGGAAGCATAGGCGGATCAGAATCATGCCATTGCGAGGTTTCCGTGGCATGCACGAAGTCCCTGCTATTGTATGATAGGTGATTCCACGCCACGAGACTATGCGTATCCATTGTGACCTAGAGAGACTGGCCCGGCGGGTCGAGAGGGAAAAGGGGGATGAGCAGCTTGATGATCTCTCGGGGTAGCGATGATTTATACGCCAATCCTTTCCACTGCACTGCAGGTCCTATCAGTGCCATCGATCAATTGAGCAAAAGAAGTCGCGTTTCATTCATGTCGGATAGATTCAGTGATTTTGGATGATGTAGATGCACGCCCGCCTCTGAGGACGACGAAGAACAAGGCCCTTGGTGATTCTCTAATATATCAAAGATTTTAGTCGACGATCCCGAGAAATACTGATGGTTGAAGGGCCCGAAGGTGATGCTCGACGACAATCATCTTGTTGGCCTGGTATTACCTACAAGTACCCTGCAACGAGGCGCTGATTAATGGATTGATCTGAGGTTACAGCCGTGCGGCGAGCTGTACTGGTTTATCTTGGATCACTCCCGCGCTATCTTAGCATTTATGAGAAAAATTTTCCATTTACGGTGACCACGGAACGCTCGAACAATGGGTATAAAAAAAGCAATTCTCCCTGGCTGGGAGTCGAACCCAGCTTTCGCGCGACACAACCTGGGTGACAGGCGCGTGTACTAACCGATATACTACCAGGGAACTGCCATATGTTTAGGGTCTTATGCTATACGTTACAGCTGTTATCGTCTCGGGTCCATGAACATTTGGATAGAGTTAGCACCAATAGTCATTGGCAAGGTCATTGCCCAGATCCAGGAAAGTTTCCCGAAACCGATGTGAAGGACAAAATCAGGCCACGCAGCACCTCTTCAGAACTCTCAATCCTGTACGACGATGAGCACCGCGAAAATGCTGCTGAAATAAAGTCCTGAGATGAGAGATCTCTTGCAAGCGAATGCACATTTGTAAGTGACCTACAAAATCGCGTTGTATGTTAGCCTAATCACTCGCTGAAAGGATTACAGAGAGGACCTTTGAAGCTGAGAAATGTCTCCTCCTAATCGATGTACTCCTTCCCTCTCCAAAACGTATAGTGCAGCATAAACGGCGTCACAGGAAAGCTCCACGAGTTGCTGTAAGCGGGAGTCCTATTATTGGTTGAAGTAGACGACACGTCCAAAGATATGCGGAGAACTTGCCTCGTGAAACTGGCAGAGCTTGAGTGCTAATAAAGTGGGGTTTCTGACTACCGGACTGAAATCGTCTCGCTGAACTGCCCTCTCCAACGTTCTGACTACACGATAGAAGCTTGACACTTCAGCATCTGCCGTGGCTGGTCGAGACATGTCATGAAGCTGGAGGGGTATAGTCGAGTTCTTGAACAGGTGGGGTTCGAGGGAAGTTAAAGCTTAAGTATCTCATTAGAAAGGTACCACGAACCTGACCAAGGCCTGCACAAGGAAGGCGTGCTCTATTTGTGTGTCATAGGACCAACTTTTATCGTTTCCGAAGTATGAAAGCTGATATATGAAAACAGGATGGATGGAAGGATATGGAAGTGTTCGATGTCTCTCGACCTTTAAGTACGAGACTCTGAACGATACCACTTCACGGTACGGCTCCGAATGATACGATTTCAGAGTGTGCGATAACTCTTCTCTGGAGTCCAGCATCATAGCCTGCCCAGAGACTTGGAAACAGGGCTTTGAGGTGGGTACTGTTCTGCCTGTCTTGCCTATCGTGAGTCAGCCCAGATGCCTGAGTCATCGAATGCATGGTGCATAATTCTCAATGATGGAAGGACACTAACTGTCTATGGGGCCTGCGGCAACTCTCGGCCGATGTAGATAATTCACACGCGGAGAGGTCTGGCGTCTGTTGGGCGTCCGCGCTTATCACCGCTCTTCCAAACCACCATCACTAACTGACAACTGTTGCAATCCCTACGTCCACGAGACCTCTCCCCGGTGTTTCTCTGCGTCTAAAACTGTCAGATGAACACCGGCATGAACGGATTATCCGATGAATGCCGGAGACCGCGCATACCGAAGGTGTTCGGTCGACAGTTCTTGAATCTCGGGTACCAGGAAAACATCAAAGCCTAGCTCTTGGCAGACGGTCTCTTGCTGCCACCCTCAAGCCCCTACGCACTCGACCAGATATGTTCTAGCATCGCCAATGACTCCTAGAACGTTTCGACGGCAGGCCAACAAGAGTTTTTGAGTCCGAAACGCCCTATTCCAACTGTCAGTCCTCTATTGACGTTCCAACTCGACAGTGACTCTTTGTTCTTTCACTGAATCTGTTGCTCACTTTGCTATACAGACTACAAATCCAAGTGGATCAAAATGGTCACCCATCTTAGTCGAGCACACCTCTGCCAACAGAATGTTTGCCAGAGTCGTACCAGGGACACTTTGGAAGTCTGCATTATTTACCGGTGACTCAGGGCGGGAAAGGAGACCATTTGTATTGTGAGAGCTATTCTGTATCTATGTATCTCGGTGTTATCCATGATCGTCAAGTCGTCAAGTCGTCAAGTTTCAACGGAGCGCGCATGTGACGAGTATGTATGCCACTTGGACGCCTCCAATGTTCGAAGACTCAGCCATTTGCACTCGACTAGCCTTGTTCGTACCCTAAGGGTCTCTTTAAAGAGGTACTATTCAACCATTCCTCTGGGCGGTGACTCGATCTCTTCGGAGCTCATCATTCAAAGTATTTCTATCATCATGAGGCGTGGCTCCGTTTTTTCCTAGTGAGTATGGAATGCTTTAGACGCCCTGTTCCTCAAGATTATTGCATATGTTGCTGAAAGACGTATCGGCGTTCCGCCCTCGGATCTGCTGTCTTTTGAGGTACCGTTCTTCTTGTCAGCTTCACATATAAGAGTCGAGACCTTCTCCTCCAACTGCATCTCTCATCGTCATGTCTTCCCCAAACACTACCCTTAACGTTCACAACACTGTTTACGAGGCTCTCCGGCGCATTGCTACGGGAGGATCTCAAGACTACCTCCACAGGATCTCGAGTCTTTCTATCACGCTCTACAATACAGCCCAGGTAGCGTATAATCGACTGATCGCTGGAATCCGTTTCTTATCCCCTATATTCCCGTGCAGGCACTTCTCAACTCCTTTCCTCGTTATCACGCAAGAGGCCAGTTGATTACACTCGTCGAGACCGCTTGCAGCACGACATATTTGTTGAGCCTGGTGTTCAACAAGCCCGAGGTCACCAGTGCAATGTTAACTAATGACTACGAGATGATGCGCATACAAATCGAACGTGCTCTTCACGGGGACAGACTGTCCAGGTGAATATAGTTTCCCAATTTACTCAAACTGGATGCTGAGTCTCTACCCTTTCCAAAAAGAACGCTCAGTGAAGCTGTCGCCTTTGTCAACGAGCTTCGAACCGAAGGCTATTATGACACAACCCGTACATCCTCGTGTCCAGTGACATGCAGTCTACCGGGTACCCTTGAATCCTGCTTCGACAAGATCAGCACTTTTCAATCCAAAATCGCGTCTTTCGCCCGGGGACTCAAGGTAATTGTTTACGTTCTCCGGCGCATTTGATGCGAGGCTGAACTTCGTCAACCATTCTATAGCTCTCATCAGACCCGGTCCAGATTGTGGAGAGTATCTCGAGTCTGCCCGGCTTCACATTCATCCTGTCAGGGAACAACGTCTTGCTGCGGATCGCCCAACTTGATCAAGATTACCGCTCGATGCACGAGCTCGCGAGGAGCAGTGAAGTGCATGTGTGGAGCGTCTGTCTCTATGCCCGCGGGATCTCTCAAGTCGCTTCCCAAATGACTCACGTTGGTTTTTCTGTGATTGCTGCATACCCGGAAAGTAAGTGCTGACCACTCTTGCTCTAGTCAAACAACGGCAATGATCTGGCGCAAACGCTTGTTCGTTCAATTCTTCGATACAAGCGTATAGGCAATTGGGAGAACCGCGATGAGGTCGTCCGGTATGTCCAATGCTTCCTACTGATTGTGAGTCTCATACGACCTTACATTTGTCTAGAACCTTAAACGGTTTGGCACCTCAATACTACTCTGGATGGGACAGAGGCTTGCCTTCGGGCTTCAGCCCTGAAAGCGTCCTCCATTCCGTACAATCGCTTCGCGCTTATCTCGCGAATCAATGAATCAGTCGTCCTCCGTGTTGTGAGGTAGATAATTTCCATGTTTTCGTCCTGTTAAATCATTCAGGAGGTTCCTGTCAATCTGTAACGTAGACGTAGTGTACAATATTAATCCGGTTATCAGAACTTCAGTTTGGCCGGCGGTATTGGGTGATTTGACATTTAGTGATGAATGGGAAAATCTGTCGGTCCTCATTTCGGCGGCATCGCCTTCTGAGTCACTTTCAGAAAAACTGATCCGTAATAGTACATAGTGCATAGTACAATATGCTACAGTATCTTGTACAAATTAATGGAGTAATGGTGATAAGAATACGCAAGAAAAAACACAATGATGAAAACGGACAGTAAGCTCAGCAACTACCGTCTCACCTCGAGCAAGTTACAACAACCATACAGTAACTAGTAGTCGAAAAACACGCAATAAGTGAAAGATCAGACGCGATAACTTGGAGAAAGCCGGCGAAACCAAACGGCGATAAACAAGAAAGCGAGCAATAATTAGAGTAGCGACCGTCCCACACTGAGCAAGCCCAGGGCGGCTAAACAGAGTCCCCAGTTCAGTGGAGAATCTATAGGAATACCGTTGGTCAGCATGAGTAGGAGACGGAAATTCAAAGGACTCGCCTCGCGGCAGGGATTCTACAGGGATCGAGTCGTCCGTGGCGTACAACTCTTCGATATGGAATTTTAGTCGCAGCGAGTAATCCTTCATCTGTTTCTCGTCTGCATTATAGAAAGGGAGCGAGGAATAAACAGTCCCGTCCAACCGCTTCACCGAGGAGAATGAGTGAAGCTCGGAGAGGGTCCTGTGTTTCACGATGAAGACTTGAGCCATCCGCAGGCCGCTTCAAGTAGGACTCAAGTATTCGAGTACTCACTGCTTCAATCCTTCGAGCCGAACCAGCCTCGCTGATTTTGGCTCATGGGGCTCCCGTTGAGACGTCGAATAGACGTTTTGGATCGCAGCAAAAACCGCATCACAGGCGGCTCCAGCGACGTCCTCCTGGTTCTGGGAGTCCTAAAGAAAAGAAAAAGCGACCTTAGAGATAACCTCATCTAGACAAACGTGGAAGACACTCACCATCCCTTCAATTTGCCTTATGTTTGTGTTGATATCAAGTGCCAGTCCTGATAACTCTGAGAAATAATCGTCCTTTTGCGCGAGGTTGTCCATGAGAAATTTGACGACATTGGACGGTTCTGGTTCTGGTTCCCGCTCTAGGCCCGGGAACGGTCCCATGGACTGTCCATCCTGGGCCTGACTCGAGCCTACAGGTCCCCCGTGGTTGGTGGTGCTAATAGAATCCCTTGCAGCGATGACGAAAGTTGGTTGATTTAAGTTAAAATGATGTGAGTTGGCGAATAAGTTCTGGTACACCCTAGCGGCGATGGTTCCGGAGAACAACATGGTACGCGGCGATGAAGGGGAGGTATGTGGTCTGGACTTGGATAGAAGGGAGGCCGAAGGTTGAAGAGCTGCTCAAAATATGGATTCCTTGTCTTTAATACGAGTAGGGACATGAGTTGAAGGTATCTAAAGGGTCTGCGCTGAGAACCATACCTCGCATTGGAGTTCATCTCCAGAATCTCTGTCGCTTGCAGCCCCGAAAGGTGTGTTCAACGTGCCGTGGTTCTTCATTCGCTCGATCGGTATCTCATGTCGATAAGTATGAGGAGTTGGCAACAAATAGTGCTCTATTTTTGCCGCACAGAGTGTTTCATGGGAGGCAAGGGGGCTGGCTGTTCGCCTTTCTCGGTGAAAGGCTGCGGTAACTGTGGGGCAAAGCTGAGATTTCCGGGGACTACGCTAATATGACATACCACTCACCTATGTCTCCAGCCTCCAAAACCAGCCTCCACGCAACAACAAGTCGTGAATGTCTGAAACATTAAAGGTGCGCCCCAAATACCAAACATACCGTGAGGTTCGCCGCCCATCGACTTTGAGTTTAATGTCTGCGCTGCGTCGTATTGTGCATGCCGTCTCAGTGCTCACGAATGGGAAGACCGGAGGAACAACGGAAGTCAACGAACGAGATAGTTATGGTGGTGGTACAAGGTCAAGCCTGGATGACACGCGGTAGCCATGAACTCAGAGCGGGAGACGAAGGGCACGCGGGTTGCGCCTGGTTCAGTAGCACCAGAACCCTGTTATCATCCTTATTCGTCTAATATATGGCGCTGACCTTACGCAGCGAGAGGAATCCGTGGTCGAGAGACAAGTCGAGTTGCGTCTGGTGAATATTACCATCTCAACCGATCATGGGGCTCTAGCAAATCGTTGTCTTGTACCCAAAACGGGGGAAAAGAATTGGTGTATTCCATCTACGTGACAGGTTCTGACGAGTACCTCGGGCAGTGTGAAAGTGTTGATACGGTCGTACACATCTGTATTACGGCAGGTGTCAATCAGTAAAACGCGATAAGAAAAGGAGAGTCAGAAAACCGATTGGCGAATCAGAGATGCACTGAATTTGGCTGTGTGCTCTGCCGTTCGTCAGAGCCTTGGGCTAAGACTGGGGCGGCGAACGAGATCTTCATAGAGACTGAATATGCAAGGAGGACATACGTACCAAGGCGTGCTCGGTCTTGCAGGTTGAAGATGTATCTTCGTATCATAGATCTGTGAAGAAAGGTTTCAATATGTGGTGAAGACAGGGGAGGTAGGTGAGAGATGCAACGTGTGTGGCTGTGTGCTCTGCCACTCGTCAATAGCTTGACTTGCGACTGGGCAAGCGAAACCATCATTGTCGAAGTATTCAGGGAATGAACATACCACAGAGGTTACGCTATCTTGTCGAGATTCGACGGAAATTACGTGACGGCCGCTTCTCCCGTAGGCTGTATCATACACCTGGGTTCCTCAAGGCAGCACTGTCAGCTCAATAGGACCGCTTTTTACAGGCCAACTGGCTCCGAGAGTCCTTTATCCAGCCGGTATGCGTTACGGTCACACCCTAGCGCGTTATCGTCAATGTAAGGATGCGGGGCAGGAACAACAAACGTACCTAAATCTTTCACGATCACCATGAGCAATTCTGTGCCACTTCCGCTGTGGCATTGAGTGATCTTCTATTTCACATTTGTCGCACAAAACACCTGAACATATGGTCCACAAAATTCTGAGGGCGGTTCTGGAGACTAACTCGCGTTTGGAAGGAACCTTGAGGTGAGCTGGGGTTGTCCTGAGCTCGTAGGCCTGAGTATCAAGATCCACAGTAGAAAAAGGCTCCAGAACTCACGATGAGCGACCTGTTTCACCTCTGCAATCAGCGCGATAGCCTTATCACATTACTGAGGGCGGGGCCACTGTTCTATCCATCGCGCTCATTATCGAGATATGAGGTCAACTACTGCGAGCTTTGGGTGTCCGGATCCCGTTGTGCAGTAGGGCTTGGTGAGAGAAGGGCCGACAGATTGCAATTTGCAGCATGTTTGACCGCAGCTGGAGGACAGGAGGAAACCTGAGAAAGACTCGGTCCGTCGGAAGAAAAAAAAATAGATTCCCACGACTGCGGCTCCGAGATCCGAACTGCCGCCAATTGGCATTACCGTCGTCTCCATGGACCATGACTGTCGCAGCCAACGTTTTACCTCAAACCAATTGTACGACAAGCCTGGAATTCGTCTCTCTAATCCAAGAACTTAGCTGTCTGCCGAAGCCCTTGGGACTCTAGACACGACGTACTCAGGCAATTCATATCTGGACTCGGGTCGCTTTCATACGGACGAATGGCACATCGCGGCGAGCGGGCAAGTCTGGCTTCGAGGGGAGACGGTCCACCCACCAACCTACGAAGACCGCTGGCAATTTCTTTACTTTGACTCTTCGTCAGTGTCTCACAAAAGCCGCTGCCGGGCTTGTCTATCGCGTTGAAGTCTCCCATAAAGCTGCAAAAGAAAGGCTGACCATCGTAACAAATTCAATCCAGAGATCTTGCCACCAATTTTCCATCACGCGCTACAAACATACAAGCTTACGAGTTGTTACGCATTCAAAGCTGTTCGGAAACCTGGGCTAACGATATACCCTTTCCAACGTCCATCCTTGACCCTTTTCCGAGCTCCCTGATCTTTCATGATTTCCTGCAATCCATCGGGGTGATCAGGCTAGAGCTTAAGCCCCTCCTTCGCTGTGCTCATCACCGTTGCTGTGGTCTAGTATCAACGATGTAGACGCTGGTGAGGTCTTCTGAAGCTCAATCGCATCGCCTAGACAAGATTCCAGCCGGTTCGCTAATGGAGAACATCTCTGGCTGTCGGTGTCTTCGGTTGGCTCCGAATCAAAGTTGAGCCGCCGGGCGAGGTGGCCTAGAGCGGCTCTGTCTCTCGGGGGTACCTCTGCATCTCTGAGGCTACCCATCTCGAGTTCCGAATCCCATTCGTCTTCAAAGTATGCCTCTTTGTGCGGTTGCTTCGGTGGAGTATGTGGACTTGTACTCAGAGCCGATATGTCGAGAAAACGTCGATTTATTAAGACTTTATCTCCGCTCTTCTTGGGAGTCTGAGGGTTGGACATGGGCTGCCTCTCCTCCTCGCTGTCCGAGTCGTCGTAGGGACACCGAGACCCGAAATTCGATGTGGTTTCTTCTTCTGGAACGGATGTACTTGTGGGAGACGAGTGAGTGGGCCGGGGGGAAAGCCTGGGAGTGGACGATGAAGGCGATCTGACGTTGTTGTTTTCTTGCATTGGAGTCGTACGAAAATCGGTGAGCTCTGCGGTTGATCATGCTAGCTGTAGTTTACCTGATTATATAACCCCACGCGTTCGGTGGCATCGAAATTCGTTTTTCCAGTGCTGTAATTTCGAGACTTTGCTCCGGCTAGACGAAGAATATTATCTATCTCGAAGGTTACGCGAGATACTTGGAATATTCCTTTCTGTTGTTTTCTGGGCAATCGACAAGGGGAGGCGCGTCAGAGTTGTTGTTATTTTTTCTTCTTGCTCGACATCACGACATTCATTCTTAGAACCTTGCGCTGTTCATCGAACCTACGCGTCATTTCTTGCCATGAACTTACCGTTCTCTGCCTCCGAATCTGCCGGCGCCTTTGTTCCATTTATTGACCGCCAGGTTGCTTGGCTCGTTCTGAAGCGTAGGGAGTGCAGCAACTCAAATAGTACATCCATGATCGGGCAAATTCCTTAATTACGGGGTGAGTCAGAAGGGACTTATCCTCGATATGGAACCACGCAACAGGTTGTACTACCTGTTCCTTTGTGATTGGCATACTCCCTGGTAGTATATCGGTTAGTACACGCGCCTGTCATGTCATCGGCATCCAGTTGGGGCACTTAACGCGCGAAAGCTGGGTTCGACTCCCAGCCAGGGAGCTTCAATCATTTTTGTGTCGATTGAAAGCCACAAGTCCCCAGACCTATACAAGAACTCGGGACAGTCAAAGTCCCAGGCAGTTTGTTCTGTCGGTCTATCGATGTTGAACGTTGAGGTACGATCTCACTCACTTGCCCATCAAAGATTTTTGACGTCTGGTGAATAAACCAGATCCTGAGACATCCTCTGGATCATGGGTACGCTCATATATGATATATGATATACATACGTCAAATATATTAATCCGTCAACTTACAGGGGATTAGCACCTCTTGGTAGGTACTAGACTCAGGTCTGAATGGCGAGAGTACCTTGCCACGCGGAATATGTACTTATGCTCGTGTATAAAAGGCGTTCGTCCCATCGGAAATCTCAACCCGACACTTATCGATGAAGATACTCGCGACTCTTTTCGTTCTCCAAGCCCTCTCTCTTCTCGCCACTGCACAGACTAAGTGCATCGGGACTGATCGAGGGACGGACTACTGTTGTTGGCCGGGCCCGCCACAGAGGGTGTGTACGCCAGTTGGGGGAAGTGCGCATTCTGATTGATTCAACTCCAAATGATACTGGTACTGACTTTATTTTATTCTTCAGAGGCAGCAAATGGGTTTTATTGGTCAGTTAAATACCGAGGTTCTAAAGAGGGGGCTGTCGCCCCATGACAAGTGAAGGGCGCCTCTGAGTCAGGACAGAATGGTATAAGTACGTGAATTCCGACTTGAAAAGCCAACCGTTCGAAGGATGGGGCCACCCCTTGGAGCCTAGAGTCCCGAGCTCGAAAGGTAGTAGAACGTCGTGTAGAAACAGAAGATCTTACGCGATTCGGAACGAGGGTAAAAACTCAAGAGCCTGAAATGATGTGCTTGGCTTGACTTCTGCAAAGCTCTCAAGCTTTCGGAGAGAGCAGGAGTTCGTGCACAACGCTTGAAATAAGCTGCAGATGAGCCGTTTCTACGGATTGCGAGTGGATTTTGCGACAATGTGAAACGGTCTTGAAGAGGAGTATCAACCAGCTAGTCATCGTTAATGGCATCACAGGTGAGAGTAAGAGATGAATGTTTGATGTTCGAAACAAGGAGGATTTGCGCCTCATCCGTTCGCCATAGAATCGAGGAAAAGCATCAACTCAGCGGGTTGATGAACGTTTTGGACGAGCCTGAGGATTTGTCAGCATCAACGGCGTTGAACTCGACCACCATGATCACAACTTTCCTCAACTTCGACGTCCAGCATTGTCTATCCTCAGCTTTTTAGATTCTTATCTCGCGCCTTACGTCTGGCCTGTTCACTTCGCAAGGAGCATCAGCGAAACCAAGAACTTCCGCCGGTCCTCTGCTCACTCGAATTCTGCATGGAGCCGGTTGGGCCCTATCGTGAATATCGTGTCCCTTCCGGTTGGCCCATCACTAAGGTAGCCGAGAAGGATGTTGGGTATCGGAAGATGAGGTCAAGGATAATGAGGATTATCGAGGAAAAGCCGAAGGTTGGGGGGTTAAGTCGAGGCGAGAAGAACAAGGAGAAGAGACTAAGAAGGTCAAAGAGATGCAGACTGTTGACGAGGAACCAAAGAAGACAAGACCCTATAGACGCGTAACCCCAGCGACATCACAGGAGAGGATTATTGGACCTTTTACGAGGGCTTATTCAATAACTTCGAAGACCATCGTCGTTCAAGCACCTCTCGGTCGAGGGTGAACGTTGAACTCGTGTGTGTGTTGAAGCGGTAAGGAATAGATATCTCATCACAGTCGGCTTGTGCTAACAGGTTCTGGTTCTTGCACCCTTCAGGGCTCAGGTCAAAGAAGCGCAATATTATCAAGCTCTATATTCGACGGGTCTTCGACGATTCATCAGGGATGTCTAGGAGAACTCTTGACTGCCTCAGCTTTGTCAACAGTCTCGCTACGCTCGCGCGGCGAAGGAACGGATCTATCAAAGCAACAAGGTGCGCTTGGATCATTATTTCTCCGAGCCGGTCAACATATACTGAAGGAAGTCAAGATCTCAAGTATCAATCACACAGTCAACTCCGACTGTACGGCCTATGTCGAGCGCGGCTCGACGGTTCTGGGATGGTACAGAATGGCCGCAGAACGGGCACAAACGTCAATGCGCTCCTCGTCATATCCCGGCGCAGTCGGTCAATATCAACCCACCCCTGTTTCTCAATGCTTTCTACGGTTCCGAAACTCTGAGTCGACTCAGTTATCTCGATGACGACGACATATAAAGAAGAGGTTGCGCGCTCGCCTTCCTCCAGAACTTCCATGCCTTCCCTCGCCCAAACCAAAGCTTCTAACGACTCTTTCACGCTCCCCAGCACTACCCCCGTCGCGGTGCTCGTGGGTGGCTCAGGCGGTATCGGAGCTGCGGTTGCAGAAGCTCTCGCACGTTATGCGAACGGCAACGTCCACATCATCATCGTTGCTCGCAACGAGGAAGCTTCTAGGAAGGTTCTCCAGACTTGCGTTGGCCCACTGTCTTCAGAGTCGTCTACGCCGGTCATTAGGGAGTTCGTCGAGTGCGATTACTCTCTCGTCGAGAGCACGCGTTCTGCTGTTCAGGCTGTTGCGGGATTGTTGAAGGATCGTGCTAACACTGGTATTATCGACTACCTGGTGTTCTCCTCCAACTTTGTGAGCCTTGAGAACAAGCGGAATGATACGGAGGAAGGACATGATTATCAGCTGCGCGTTAGGTATTATCATCGGTTCCAGATGACCTACGCGTTGACTGAGTTGGGGTTGTTGGGAGATGGGTCGAGGGTTTTGACGATTCTAGGGGCTGGGAAGAAGGGTGTGAAGGTTGAGATTAAGGGAGAGGACTTTGAGTTCAGGGAGAGCGAGGTTGGGAGTGGAAAGTTGGGAGCGGTCGTTTCGACGGTGTATACGGATATTGGGTTCAAGGTAAGCAGGTTTTTCTTAGTTTCCTCGTTCAGAATGTCAACCTCCTATGGCATAAAGGAATTCGCTACCCGCAACCCCACTATTGGCGTCACCCATATGCATCCCGGGTTTGTTCGCACTGGGTTAATCACGAATATCCTCGACGGCATACGCAAAAAGGCTATCGTTGGACCATTACTCTACTTCCTCGCCAACGCCGTCGTCGCTAGGGTCACTATCCAGCCTGAAGAGTCGGCCGAATACATGATTTACGCCTTGTTCAATGGGAAGGGTGGAGATGGAACGTTCTACCGCCGTGATAGGGTTGGTGACGATATCAAAGAGGTCGTTAATCACGAAGGCGTGGACCCGGAGAAGCTCTATGAGCATTCGCTCAAGGTCACAGAGGTCGCTTGAGACCTCTCCCGCAGTCGCGTCTTGGTATATAGGTATGGGTCTTTTCTCTCCGAGGTGCAGAAGCTGACGCGAACCTGACGTGACAGATACTTGTTTTTGAGGCTACGAAAGCCCTATATGAATGGATGGACTCATTGCCGTTGGCCAGCCTGGAGGCCATTTCACATTCCCTCATGCCCCCATCGAACTTTAAGACGACTTCGACGACAGAAAGTATAAAAGATTCCCGACAATTTCGATACCCGTTAGACATCATACCCGGTACACTTCTCAACTGTAGCTCTACGTCTACTGTATTACAATCACTGCAAATGCAAACTTCACCAAATATCACGACTGGCCTGCTTCGCGTTCAGACATGGACCCACAATCCCTCAAAAGCAGGCGAACGGTTTCAGAATGCCTGCCTAGCTGTCCACTTCTCAGAAAAATCTGTCACGAGACGCTACATAGTACAATTGAATCCCGGGGGTGCGCGGTTTGTCCGAACTAAAATGGGAACGAACGAGGCTGTCCGCGCTGTCCATGTTACTAAATACGTTTTCTTTGCAGTGAAACAGCGTTACTCACCTTACACTGAACATTGCATGAAGCTTCTTGAACTCCGCTGGCATGAGTTCCTCTGAAGGCTCTTCCGCCACACCTCCCTCTCCTCCTTGCCCTGTTCAGAGTGCCGATGATCTTCGAAAAATACTATCATCACCGAACCCAGTCGACCATCTTCTCCAGCTCGACCCGTCGTTTGCATCGAGTGTCGTTGAGCTACTTTATACGGTTCATGTTCCTCTGTGTCTGTCCGTGATGGGCCTTTGCTAACACCATGTTGATATGTTGTAAAGGAATTACAAACAGCCAACCTCGAAGACGATTATAGACAGCGGTGCATGAAATGCTTGAAAACTCTGATCAAGAAATTCCGTACCCTCCCCCCCTCTTTGGTCTTGCACGACATAGAACTAAATGGGACCAATCCCCTCACTGGAGGAGGCTTTGCCGTGAGTGTATAATCGATTTATCGAGAGGGACAACGACAATCTCAAAATGACTAACGTCGCCAGGATATATACAGAGGGACTTTGGGGGGGAAGCCAGTATGCTTGAAGGTTTTACGGGTACACACAGCAGAGAGCGGGCGAAAGAGGGAGAAACTCGTAGCAGTGCGTGTCCTCAAATACAGCCCCCACCGCCAGTAATGCACTCACGCAACGTCAGGATTTTTGTCAAGAAGCATTCTTCTGGACACAACTCCGACATCCCGGCCTTCTTCCGCTGCTCGGAGTGAACACCAGCCTGTTTCCATCGGGTTTCTGCCTCGTTTCACCCTGGATGGCGAACGGGGATATTATAAGCTACCTGAAAGAGAACTCCGGTCATGATAAACTACAGGTGGTGAGTATTGAGTGGGCCAACGATGCGTTTCCACAATATTGATCGTCATGATACACCTCACTTTTTCAATAGCTCTCCGAAATCGCATTCGGACTGCAGTATCTACACTCCCTCAAACCCCCAATAGTCCACGGTGATATCAAAGGGGTGCGTGATCTATCTTCTCCTTCTGAATGTACCCTGATGGAGAGTATATAGGCTAACATTCTTGTCGATGAGCAGCGTCGCTGCCTGTTGGCAGATTTCGGGCTGGCGGATTCTACGGCTGATACAACTAGGACGCCTGCTGCTAGTAGTGGGACTTT